GTCGACGTGATGGTGACATGCTAGCAGCTGTACTCCACGCGTTTGATAGAGGATCGAAGATTTCGCAAGTCGATACTTCGCTCGATCCACTGTATCCACCTGTTACCAAGACTTTTCCTGATGATAATAAAGTGGCACTATGTCCTCGACGTGGTGATGATATGTTAGCAGTTGCATTCCACTGATCTCTGGAGATTGTGTATGTTGCTGAAAGTATAACAAGAAACATACTCAACTTGTCGTAGTCAGCTTATTCTCATTATTCAGTGAGTTTTAAATCAAAAGAAAGTGCTTGGGAATATCCTGACATGCGCGCAATAAATGTTGTATCGCTTTCCATCGAATGACGGATGCCACCAGTTTCGCGTCAATATCTTCCTTAAGCAACAGTGTTGTAGACTGTTTTCTGTTCAGTGAGAGATATCTTGAGAGCCTCCACAATATCTCCATCCAAACCTATTACCATTTTGTCAGAGATCACCGAAGAAAAGACTTGTTCTTCGAAGCTTCCTAGCTCATGTACGTTAACCTGAAATGTTAACGACAGACAGTAGCATTCAGTGCAGTAGTGTTCGTTTTCAGTGTAGCTTCCCAACATCTTTTGCTCGCACTACAGAAAAGACACTCTGAAAGCCATATAAGAAAGATCGGGTCTATCACAAACGTCTTCGACAGTTCTGAAGCCATAAATCGAGAATGTCAAGCGACCACTATTGTAGAGTAGTATTTATGTTCTAGTATCGGCACGACGTATATTTAAATATGAATCCAAACGTTTGAGTGAATATTATGCTGAATTTGCTTTTTGGAAAGAAGATCTATCGCTGTACGGTGTACATAACAAGAGAAGAAATGATATAGCGTACTTCATTCTTCTAATAATACATGCTCTGACTTTCGTCAGAATGTTCTAACTCGTTGAGATTGCACTCTAAAAGAAACGTATATTACAAAAGGAGAAAGGCCTGTTGCAGCTATATGTTTTGTGCAATTCGATCAAGAAAAGCTTCAACTTTCTTTGCTAAACAGAAAATCTTGTGCATGAAAAGCATTTTTCTGGTTGTTGCCTATGAGAGAAAATGTAGAGAATGAACTTCGGCACAAAACTGAATACCGTTAGAATGCTGTCGTGTTACCCAAAAACGTTTTGTTTTCGAGGTAAATCGTTTTTAATGTTTTTCTTCGAAAGTATCAGTATTATTTCAGCCAAAAAGGTATTATAAACTGGAGTACGACATTGAATAGTTGCTGTAAAATTTGATCAATTCGCAGTTGTTTTAGCGGAAACAAGACCGATACTTTTGAAGAAAAACATTAAAAACGATTTATCTAGAAAACGCAACGTTTCTGGGTAAATCGACGGCGTTCTAAGAGTCTCCAGCTTTGTGCCGAAGTTCATTTTCTGTATTTTCTCTCACAGGTAAGGTACAGCCTCAAAAAAATGCTTTCCATCTGAGATAAACAAGATTTTCTATTTAGCAAAGAAAATACGGCCGTTACAACGATTATATACGGCTCAACAAAATGTTCTGCTAATTTTATGTTCTTGCTCATTCTACTTGAGTATAGAATATCACATTGAATAATTAACGTGATCAGATACTGGATCATTCGCTAAAATACATATGGCGTTAAGCCATCATAAATGAGGAAATATGTACGATAATCCCTATCGAAAGAAAACAAAAAACCGTTTGTGCGTACAGTAATTCTAGTGTCTCTCAACTCTGTTTTTCTTTATGTACTTGAATCACAGAAATATGAAAATGAAATAGTAAACTAAAGAAAAGAAACAACGGTAAAGCAAAACCAAAACGTTTGTCAGTCAAATATGTGGAAAATAATATCATTGACAAGAGATTTTACCAAATGAAATTTATAGACGATGGAAAATATGAGAGTAAAAGGAAAAAATTTGAAACAAGAACTATGACAGGAATAATCGAATTTAATCTACAATATTATTCATCAATACTATAGTATTGGATATCATGCTCCAAAAAAAGCTCTTCTTACAACATTTGACTGGGCCGTAAAATGATCCGTCTATTGCGTTCTGTGGGAATGTAGACTTCGACCAATCAATGTCACTTACCGATACAACCTAAAGTTGAAATATTGTGTGTAATAGCTTCACTACCAATATGAAACTGAATGAGTGAGCGTAGCGGCTCCTGTTCTTGATATTTATTCCATTCAGTTTCAGCTTGTTCCAACTGTTCAATAACAGTTCTTCCTTGGGACAATGCAGCATAGTCATTCAATGACAAAACATGTGCAACTTGTTGGAGACCATCGTTCAAACTCGAACTGACATTTGTCACATTCTCTTGACGCATGCGCACATTATTACGGCAAGTCTAAAAGTGGAATCATGAAATAAAACCACTATCCACCAAGACAGTGTACCTGACACTCTTGTTTGAGTTGTCTCTCCATCTCTGCTTGTCGTGCCGTGAGAAGTGCTAGAATACGATCATATGCTTTTCTGATTTGTTTTCGACTTTCATCTTCACTAGAATCAATATCTAATTGAACAGAAGAACAAGCAAGTCAAGGACAAACTGTAGTCACAATAATCTTACCTTTCAGCTTTCGCTTTAGTTCTTCTGCTTCATCTATGAAGCGGATGCCTATTTGTTGAGGGCGTTCAGCGTGCTTTTTCACTTTACTTCTCACATCATTTGCCTCATCAACAACAGTCCTGACAGTGTGATTCTTGTGTACCCCAAAAGAATGACAAGTAACACAGCAAACGGTCTACGAAACGAGAATCAGTAATACAAATCTATGTGTCATCAAGGTCTAGTGTAACACAGCTCTCTCTGATCTCTCACATCCGAAGAGATAACGAGTGTTAAAATGCAGGAGATCGAAGCTGAGAAACGCATTCACTACCTTGCATGTTAAACAATATAAACACAGTGGCATATGATGAGTTACACAACTCGATGGTTTGTCGTCTTTCACTCTTTCCTTCTCACTAATTGGTACTCTTCTATGACGTTGTTGTGATTTGAGTGAATGAGCAACTGAGTTGTGATCGTCACAGTAATTTGCATTGTCGTCCACACAATACCAGACAGCAGATCTGTCACATTCACTGCAACCTTCAACTTGCTGTTGTGAACCACTCATTTCTACTTAAGAAGAAACTGAA